GGGGGGGGAAAGGGGTAGGGGAGAAAGGGAGAGAATGAGAGAGGGGAGAGGAAGAGAGTGGGGTGAATAGAGGGGGAGGGAGAGAGGGGAAAGAGGGAGGGAGAAGGGAGGGAGGGAAAGAGAGAGGGGGGAAAGGGGTAGGGGAGAAAGGGAGAGAATGAGAGAGGGGAGAGGAAGAGAGAGGGGTGAATAGAGGGGGAGGGAGAGAGGGGAAAGAGGGAGGGAGAGGGGGAGGGAGAGAAAGAGAAAGAGAGAGGGAGGGAGGTAACAAAAAGGGTGAGAGTAAAAGAGAGCGGAAAGGGGGAGAGAAAAAAGAGGGGGACAAGGAGGGAAAGGGAGAGGGGAAAGAAGGGAGCAGGAGAGAGGGGGGGAAGGTAACGAAAGGGGTGAGAGGGTGGGAGAGGGAGAGGGAGAAGAAGGGAAGGAAGGGAAAGAGGGGGAGAGAGATGGGGAAAGGGAGAAAAAGGGGGGAGGGAAAGAGAGGGAGGGAGGGAAGTTAGGGAAGGAGAGAAGGGAGAGGAAGACAGAGGGGTGAAGAGAGGGAGGAGGGAGGGAAAGAGAGGGGGAGAGGGAGGGAGGAAAAGGGAGAGAGGGTGGGGGAAAGTGGGGGAGCCTGAGGAGCGCAACCTCCCCTCCCGGCGTGACTCAGCCCCGTTCCTCACGTGCAGGAGGCGCCGCCGCCACCGCCACCGCCGCGCGCGCGCTGAGTCTTGAGGCGGCGCGTCTGCTGGCAGCGGGCGCCCTTTCCTATATCTCGGCCCTCCCAGAGGCTCCGCGGCTCACAAGCTCCCGGGTGGCCGGCCAGGATCGCAGCCAGCAAGGAAGGCAGGAAGACAGGCAGGAACCCTCGGCGGGAGCGTCTCTCTCCCTCTCCCTCTCTCCGTGCCTGAAGCGCCGGCCGTTTCTTCTCTCCCTTCGGGCCAAGAGCCTCCGGCCGGTCTTGCCGTCCCTCGCCCACGATGCGAGCCGCCTTCCCCGCCTGCCTCCTGGCCTTGCTGGCTTGGGCCGCCTCCACCGGCGAGGGCCGAGTGGTGGGCGACGACCAGCCGGGCTTCGCCGAGTGCGATGCCTTCTTCTACGGGCAGGCGCCCCCCGTGGGCTTCCCGGCCGAGCAGGTGGCCAAGGTCTGCCAGAAGTACCGCGGGGAGCCGCGCTTCGCCACCCTCTACAGCACGCGGGAGAAGGTGCCGCTTTTCGCCGCCTTCCGATACACCCCAGGGGAGGCCGCCGGGCAAGAGGAGCAGGAGGAGGAGCAGGAGGCGCGCTGGCTGGTGGAGCCGCAGGTGAGAGCCTCGGGGCGGCGGGAGAGCGTTTCGTGGGGGGAAGCACGAAACGGGGGGTGTGCATGCATGCGTGCGTGCATGCGTGTGTATGCATGTGCGTGTATGTGCATGTGTGTGTATGTGCGTGTGTGCGTGTGTGTGTGTGTGCGTGTGTGTGTATGTGTATGTGTGTGTATGTGCATGTGCATGTGTGCATGTGTGCATGTGTGCATGTG